GTTGGTAAATAAATATTGTTCATAAGCGGGAGGAATATATTGAAATTTCTTGATGACGTAAAACTTCATTAGCCAAATATGCTTCACCTAAATTAAAATTATATTTGCTACCTAACTTTGATCTTAAGCTTATGAAAAACCGCGATATTAAATCTTTCATGTGACCAATTCAATTTATCAACACAATCTTCCGGCATAGCAAAATTTATATCTGTTGTACATTCATTGTGTTGCGCTTCTGATGTCATTGATATTTGTTTGCCTTTTAAAATTGTCTTCAACTTACTGTATATTTACTCTTCTTTTAATATCAAATTCAGATTGACCTGCAATCACATTATATTCCCTTAATCTTACTTTAAGATTTTCCAACGAAACACGAAGACCATAAAACGTTACTTTCATTCTTACTGTTACAGAAATATATTAGAAATCAAATCGTACGATCGTATTCTATTAGTCCCATTTTTGTTTAGTTTAATTTTTAAGTTTTCAAGTTTTTATTAGATTTAGTTAGACTTTTTGTAGATCGTTGGCCTGTCCCCTGGCCAATTGTCTCCTGGCCATTATGTTTTGAGGACAAAAAGGCCTCCGAACAATTTAGTCCTTGCTGAGTTTTAAGTATAAAAGAAGGGGGATTTCACTTGAGTAGAAAATAGTGTTCCAAAAGTTTCCTACATAAAAACAATAGCTGATAGATAGTATTAGATAGCGGTTAACATATATCCCCTTTCCTTTTATTGTAACGATAACGAAGATAACGAAAGTAAATAATGAATTACGTATCTGATTGTATAGAACGCCGACGATTGAGGCAATACCTTAGATTTATGTTAGAATTTAATTGTTATTAATAAAACATTTTAATAAAGAAACCTGCTGCTTACCTTTTTCTTTTGTTTATAACCTATAAACGTCTCGAACAGCGTGCAACATTACTATAATTGGACAACAAGGCCCGAAAATAAAAAACAATAAATTAAAAAATAAGAATAATAATCACGTATAGCGTAATTTATGATTAAATAAAATATTAAAATTAAGTTATCGCTGCGGAAGTAAATATTAGCCGGTTAAATTTAACGATTAATTCTAGATGATGAAAAAAAAAATATTTTTTGTATTATAAGTTTTAGTACGAAATATTATTGCAAGTAAAAGAACTTCTAATGATGCAGGTAATCAAATTTCTCTAAATTTAGTTAATAAAATATTGATAGCCGAATTTAAATAAACTTTTTTTTTATCTTTCGCATTGTTGGGTTGAAATCAATAATTAAAATCATTATAATAGTGGTTTAACCATTTAATTATTTAATCGGCTATAATAAGCCTTAATTAGCTGGCTAGCTGACCGGTTAACCGTTAAATTCTAATGATGGTTTATCGATTACCACATTCTCGACTTATAATTAAACTTATGAATGTAATTTATCTCTTAATATAAAATTAGGAGTACAATAACTTTATTAT